ATAGGGCAGTTCCTTGCCTCCCAGGAGTTGGTTTCCTTAAGGCCACTTAAAGTCAGAGTTGCAACAAAGAACTTTCCTGCCCAGCACTGGAGAACTCAAATATCTTATTGAAGGGGTGGAGTTCAGAGCCTCCCCTGGATTCTCTGTAGAAATATTCAGTTCTGAATGTTCAGATGGACTAGATTAGTATGAGAGCTTCTAGAACTCCTTGTGGGTGCAAATTCTTTCTACTGGGGGTGGGCAGACACATACATGTCCATGGATGTAGGGAAATGGCTTTAAAGCAAAAGGCCTATTCATGCTTGCTTCGGGAATGGATGCTTCTGGTGGTCCTATGGTGCCAAAGACTAAACTCACGTTTCTCCTTCCAGTTGTTACATACTCCAAATGATTCTTTTCCTCCAGGGGTTGGTTTAGTCAGGGATCCTCCAGTTCTATCACTGGCTCAGACTTGGTCTCCATGGATTCCGATGGTGGGGACAGAGACAGAATATCCTCTGAAAAATGGAGCCTTTTTGGACCCAGAGCTGTCCAGAAATCCACTAATGACCCAGGTATGTGCCCTCTAGGAGGAGAACCCTTCTCAAAAGCTGCCATAGGTAGCGGGAGATGACAGTGCAAACACTTAATTCAGAGAGTGGTTACAAGTCATCCATGTAAACTGCACCAGTGATGCTGTCACTACCCCTAAACTCTAACTCTTCAGTGAAAACTAGCACAAAGTGGCCATAAACAGCTTTCCATACAAACGCGGCTGTGTTATGTGACAGCCTTTATTTGTAACTGCGTCTTGTGCTGCCCAGGCCTTTCCTCAGTGTCTAAAACTAGAGCATCTTGTGCATGTGCCAGTGGACACAGCCAAATGGCAGGTGGCCACTGTTCTCTTTAGTAACCTGCAGCCTCTCCCTGATGTGCTTAAGGGCTGCAGAGCTGCGTGGAAGGCAGACTGTCAAATATATGGCACCACACCTGTCAGCAGCTAGTTGTGAAATTATACCATCTCTGCCTCTTGCATACCAGCAAGACGCTATCTGTGGGTGTGACGGTCCCAGGGGTTTGGGACACTTCCGCATGGATCTTTGAGGAACATGCACTGTAGGGCACTAGCTACACTCCAGGGGAGCTGGGAGGGAAAACAATGTGAAATGATGCTTCTGTGTGTGCCTTACATACATCACGGCAAGACCTTAACCTTCAGTTTTAAGAGCCGCTTCCTGATGTTGCGGACCTTGATATGTGAATGTTCTGTAAAACCTGAATGAACTGTTTATCTGCTGTAACAACTTCTTCCCTCAGGGGCCTTTACCATCCAGTCCTATAAGGGTGCCCAGAAGCCATCCCCAATGGAGCTGATCCGTGCCCAGGCCACCAGGATGGCAGAGGACCCAGCTACCTTCAAACCACCCAAGATGGACATTCCTGTTATGGAGGGGAAGAAACAGTCAGCACGGTCCCATAACCTCAAACCCCGGGATATGAATGTGCTCACTCCCACGGGATTCTAGGAATATCGTTGCCTCCAAGGAAGGATGCTCTTGGTGTCTTCATAATGGATTAAAGGGTGGTTTTGGGTATGCTTCCCCATCCCACTTGACTTTCCTAGGTAACTGTGCAGGATTTCTTTCTTCCATGTCAGAGCACCGACGAGACAGAAACAAGATCTGGAAAACAACCGTCACTACTTCTGGAGCGCAGCCTCAATCTCCTGCTTTTTTTTAGAAAGTTTCTGTAATAGCACCAAGTCCATATCAACCGACCTGTATCCGCTGCAGTCCTATTTATCTGTACAGCAAGATTCCACTGGGAGATGTGTGCTGGTCTAAAACCTGAAAATCCACACCGTGTTGGGAGACCTCTTCCTGAGCATCTTGCTGTGCGGAGTGGGCTGTCCTGCCTAGCTATGTTCTAGGCTTCTACTTCTCCTCCGCTCAGGGCCCTGGACAAGTTGCCAGAAGGACATGCTTCTCTCTAGGATCTAGACAACACCAGCAGCCGGTGGTCTTGTGCTAGAGACCAAAAACCTCCAGCCAAGCCTGTCAAGAACTGGAGCATTCACTGACGTTCTCTATCAAGATTCCCTTACATAACCATGTAGCTCCCCTGCTCTGCAATGTCAGTTTATAGTACCACATCTAGTGTTTTTCTTTTTGGGTTTCTTTGTTAAAAGGGTAATTGGTCCATGAACAGTGACCATTCTAAAGATCAGCCCTTAGTGTTAAATTCTGCTGTGCGGTTCTGTACTGGTGCTTGGTGGCAGGGGGGAAACCTTTACTTCTGCTGTCAAAGGGCTTCATTTTCCAGTGGGCCCAGAGGAAGAAATGACCAGAGCTAGTGTGGCTTGAACTAAACCCTTCATTCTCTTCTCAGATCTTTGCATGGTAACCCCATTCTGCTGCTTTCAGTGGGGAGCACAAATGGAACGACAGTTGATGTGGCACTGTGTCTCGGAGTTCTAGTTGTATCTTGTAAGAGGTATGTGTGGAGGGGATGTAGCAGTTAGAGAAAGGGACGTGGACAATCCCTTTTCTGTAGGATCTTTATTTCTCAACATCAGATTCATGCTTGCAGGCATTGAGGGGGACTAAGGGAGAATTGAATCTTAAACATTCCTCCTGTGCTCTGGTAAGACTTAAGATTTTTCTTAGCCTAGATTTATACACCTTCATGGGAAACAGTCAACACACACCTTCACGTCTCTTCCTCCACAGAAGTGGGGAAGAAGCTTTTTAAGTAGCCTCTAATTCACCAAGCAGTGGAAGGCGGCTTAGTGTGAAATCTCCATACCTGCCCTGTGGCAAACTGGTCACTCCGGATTCCTTTAGATTCCTTGACAGGTACTGGCCTGAACTTTACCCTTTCCGTAGTCATCACTGTAGCAGTCAGATGGCATGTAAGGCCCAGTCTTGTTGCAGCCAGTGTTAAAAGCCTCTTATACTGAAATCTCTTTCCTTGGAGCTCCAAAGAGAGGCTATGTCCTGACCGCACTGCAGTGCTTAGCTTATGTCCCCCCTTGAGGAAGCATGGTTTGTAGCACAGCTTCATTTCAAACTTCATCACTAATGGCAACACCAGTCACATAGGTGTTGCATTGATAGCACCAAGGACTCCTACCCTAGTAATCAGTTGTCATTATGGATTGGAAGTGTGTATGATCAGTGGTAATCAGACTTCTTTGACTTCCATTAATTTATTTGTGCTGTTTGTGCTCATGTTGTAGTTTTTTTTTGTTTTTTTTTTAAATGTGTCTAACTGTTACAAGAGAATAAAAGCCCTTGTGAATGGAGATATGTGGTGGTTTCTGCAGCAGCACAGCAGGTAAAGTGCCTGAAGGAAAGAGGAGCAAACCTGATCTGCACAGGGCTCTCTGCCCTTTGCTGAGTAACTAGTGAACTCTTCTGTGTCTAATCTGGGACACGTAGGCACAAGTCTGGTCACCATTTATTTATTTTTGCATTACAATGTTCATTGCTTTGTACTATCCCTTCTTGAAAGGAAGATAGTGGTGCTTCGTCTGGGCCCTAAGGGAGGGGGTGCTGCTATTACAGAACTTAACAAATAGAAGTGTTCATGAAACTAGAGCCAATGGAAAGTCATTGTTGGGGGATTTCCTCACTTTCTTAAGCTGCAACTCCCAGGCTGGTAACTGGCAGCTTTTCCCATGCCTGGGGAATAATGTTGCCCTCCCAGGTTCAGTACGTGTGTAGCTGACCTCCTGGGGAATCTGCTAGGTGGTTATCTAAGGCTACAAAACAGTGTGTGTGGCAGCACTGCAGTACACATGTGACCTTGCCTCTCCGATTTAGCTTTGACTGAATTTTTTTTAGCTTTAAAAGGAAAGGAAACACTGAAGCATGTGGCTTGATGCCACTGCAGTACCCTGCCCTCCACAGCTAACGGTACACACAAGGGTGTCTCTTCCCTGCATTGTTCAGTATGCAGTTAGCTGTGTGCATAGACAACATTCCTTGAGGAACCCACTTTGAACTGAATAGTACAACTATAAACTTCATTGTACCTCTTCGAAGTGTAATTGAACAGTTAGAACTTGATGAAATCAAACCCGGTTTTCAGCAGGGTCTTTGCTGTAGCTTTCACCCTGTTGATGTGAACGCTACTCCCAATAGCTTTGCTGCAGTGGCTGTTGGATTCCCAAGGTATTTTTAATCTGGAAGCAGGGAGCAAAAAAAAGTGGTTTCTTTTTGCAGTTTTCGTCTACTCAAATAGCTGAGCCGTTTGTGCTCACTTCCTCCAGCTCATCACCTCTAGGCAGAGACCAAAGCTGGGAAATGTCACCTAAAAATCCAACTTCAGGTTCCAGAGAAGGGGCATGTGTGCGCCTCCCCCCCGGAGTAACCATGTACTCGTCGTTAGAAAATGTGTGCTATCCTGGAAGAGCAGAACTCTTCCCCTCCCCCATGTCTATTTCCTAGTACTGGTGACACATTCATTGTCCCTGGTGCAGGGGGTTATTTCTGCAGATCATTCAACACAGACTAACGTAAAAAACCATAGATTTCTATTGTAACAGCCTCACAGGGCTTCAGGTACCACTCCTGCCCTTAACTTACTCTTCAAAACTGGCAAGCCTGGGTCCCTAAAAGGCAGGCTCGTAGACCCCGGCGCTCGGAGGGGCGAGAGCAACAGTGTCTACAGCCCTAGTCATTGCATGGCAGGTAGGAAAACTCAGCTTCTGTTTGCTGTCCTTTTAGTGTGCGTGAAATGTGAGTGGTATAGCTGCGTTGTTGACCAGGACTGTAGTACAAAAAGCAAATGGCACCAGTGTCCCCTGCTGTAGAGGGGTTGTAGTAGGGCCCTTGATGGGCTGGGTGGCTTAGTGTCCACTCAGCTGGGGGATGGGGCAGTGGTAGGGGAGCCTGGGCCTGCCCAGTCTACTGGGCTCTGCCCCATAGCCCTAGGACGGTCAGCAGTGTTGATCCTGGGGGGGGGGGGGGGGAAGAAATACAGACCTTCTGTGTTATCCTTCCTGGGTTGCTTCCCAGCACTGCTCTCTGCGCTTCTGGTCCCAATAAGGAAAAAGGACCCAAAACAGTGAGCCCCAGCTGGGTTCAACATACAATCCATCCCCTTTGGCAGGAGCCTGCAGGGTAGGTCTGCACTCCTCCCCCAGCCTGCCCCCTCTGAGCTGGGTGCTGGGCAGGTGGGCCCCTTTTCAACTCTGTCTCCAGTTGAGCATGCTCAGCAGGGTTGGAGGGGCGGGGCTAGCTGGGCCCAGTATAGTCCTTTAACCCCTTCTGTCCCAGTGTGGGGTTTGTACACTGCATCACAGGGGTGTTATGAGGGTAAATCCCTTAGAGGGGGAGGTGTTCAGATAGGATAGTGGGGCCATATGAGCGTGAGAGGGGCACGCAGATTGTTCTGAAACACTAAACTGTCCCATCTCCCCCTAGTTCCTGGGTCTGCCTCTGCCACTTCAGAGCAAGGTGTGCTTCCTGACGCCTTGACTGCAAGGAATAAAGCCACTGTGAAAGGGGGCAGGGGAAGGAAGAGAGAATTGTCCAGTCTTAGCATCGCTTTCTAGGTCAGCTCATCTCTAGAGGAAGTCTATTGTAACTAGTTTGTCACCAATTTGCTTTACCTGAAGCTTTAGTGCGAAATTCCAGATGCCTAATACAAACTTGCATCCTATGCTCAGCCGCTATTGTCAGGGCAGGACGTGTGGCTCCAAAACAGCTAGCTAGCTTTGAATACTGCCGCCCAGGGATAGATGCTCTGAAGCAGGCGTGGCTTCCTCTAGTGGGCAGGACCTGTTGGAAGCTGCTCTGGCCTGTTTTGAGAACTCGGCTGTACTATGTAGGGATAGAGGGTTGATTGGAAGCTTTTCCTATCAGTGAGATGCTACTTTACTAACATCTAGAGCGGGGGTGGCCAAATAGGGTGACCAGATGTCCTGATTTTTATAGGGACAGTCCTGATTTTTGGGTCTTTTTCTTATATATAGGATCCTATTACCCCCCCCAGCCCGTCCCCATTTTTCACACTTGCTGTCTGGTCACCCTATGGCCAAACTGCAGCTCCCCAGCCACATGTGGCTCTTTTAAAGTGTGACTTGTGGAGTGCGTGGCCCCCCCCCCATTCTCCACCTATCAGACTGGGGTGGGGAACTAGGGGCTTCTGCCCAGCGGGGGGGGGAGAGGGGGTCTAGGGGTTACAGCCCCATGGGAGGTGCCTGCTGGGGCTCAAGGCTTCAGCCCCTAGCCCCACCCCCTGCCCCAGGGGAGAAGCTCTGAGCCCTGGTGGATGCGCCCGGCTCTCGAACTTCTGAAGATTCTAGTCTGTGGCTTGGAGGGTCAGTGAGTTTGGCTAGCCTGGGTCTATAGAGTGAAGCAGCAGGATCCAGGATGTAGTGATCGCCCAGCTGGACAGGAGTAGCCTGCTAAAAGAATGGCTCTGCAAGAGTGACAGCACCTCCATTAATCAGCTTGTTCTGTTAGAGCTTTCGTGGTCCGATACCACAGTGCTGAGTGCAGTACAGGAACCAAAACGCAGCTGCTGCTGAAAGGTGTTCAGGCTGCCGCACCTACCATTCTTGTGCTATTCCCATACCCTGCCTACACCAAGCTCTTGCCTGACTCGGAGAGCAGCTAAAACTGAACTATGCAAGGTTCTTTGAATCCCTCCCCACTTTCTCAGGTGGTGCAATCTTCTGGGTACAGCTGCAGGGCTCAGAAGCTGAGCTCCGGCTAGATTGTTACTGGTAGCTTGAGGAAAGAACCTCATCAACCAGGAAAATAATTTAATTAAAAAAAAAATCTATACACAGGTTGCACAAGGAGAAGCAGATTTCAGAGGAGGGAATGAGACTCCTAGGTCCACACAACAACTGTATGAACAGACCTGAATCGTGGGCAACTGATGTTTGACCAGGCTGCTGCCTGGCACTGAAAGCCCGCTCCCCCGCGAGCGTCTTTCTCCTGTCAGGTGGCGGTGAGCAGCAGCGCTTGAAGCGTGCACACCTTGTCCTTGAGCTGTGGGGGAAGGGGCTTCCCCAGGATCTGCAGCAGCCGGCTGCTGAAGTCCTTGACGTGCAGCTCAATGTCCACGGCGGTGACGCTGTCGTTAGCCTGGAGCTGGGGTTTGGCATTTGAAATGATTAAATCCATCCGCTCGCTGAGTGACCTTCGTAAGTGCCCTGCAAAGGGACATGCTGGTAAGTCATTGTGTTAGTACCAGGGGCCTACGGGGCAGTGTCTGACCCCAGAGCTGTCGAAGTCAGTGCATGCCCCTTGGTGAAGAGCGATTGCACAGAACTAGTCGGAAAAGTGGCATGCATCCCAGGCTTCTGCTTGGAGCTTCCATCTGAGGCTGATTTTCAGTTGGAATGTCCCATCCCCCAACTCAGAGCAGCCCAGTTTTCTGCAAAGCAGGGGAGAGTTCCAGCACCACCTGGGCTTTAAACCTCCCCTCTTTCACTTTCAAAGGACTCTCCTGCTTGCCAGCTGCCTAACCTGCTTGGAAAAGTCTGATCTGGGAGGCTAGGGCCAAGGGGGTGGGAGGGGAGGTGCAGGTGGTGTCAGGTTTAATCGTTACTACAGGCACATGGGGGGTGTGTGGGGTGTGTGTGTATGCAGAGCCGACCAGTGTGGAGGGGAAACATGGTCAAGCAGTTTCCTAGCAGGGGGAAGAGGCCTTTGTAACTCTCCCAAAAATCAGATTTTAGATCCTAAGCTAAATGATGGTGCCCCCATTGTTTCCAGATTAACCTAGTGTCTCCCCTTCTTCACCTTCCCCACCTGAGCGGGCGGGCTTTCTCCCATCAGCCCGGGCTTTCTGCACAGCTGGCTTGCACACCTCCCAGAGGGTTGCCCAGGGAGGGCACTGCAGGTTGAGCCCTTTAGAGAATAACTAGGAACGCATTGTGCCGCAAACCCTTCGGGAACAGGCTAATTCTTGGGAGTTTGACTTTGGTGGCACAGGGTGGCTTGTTCCCTTGGAGATGAGCCCTGTGTGGTTTCTCCTGTACTCACAGCCTCTCCCAACAGCCAGAGTGGAGTCTGAGAGGCAGCAGCTTTCTGGAACTGAAAAGTGAGATCGCAGCTGCTTTGGTGGGAAGGGGACCATGGGGTGGTCTGGCCTACTGTGATTCTAGTTCCGCTTGGTCAGATTATACACACTAAGGCTGGGCCATTGCCAGAGGCTGCTTACCTAGCACAACGTTGCGGTAACTTGTCAACAGTAAAATCAAGTGCTGAAGCATCTCATCCCATCTCTGCCACGTTACTTCGTGGTCCTGTGCAAAGAGCAGACAGTTGATTACCAGGAGGGGTCTCTCAGAGAGAGCAGGGCAGGGAAGGAAGAGGCGGGCGATACCTGATATTGTAGCAGCAGCGAATGGCGGCCCAGGAAATACAGGATCTTGCTCAGAGACAAGGGCAGGGAGGCTGGCATGTCACAGCTGTGGTGGAACAGGAGCTCCAGCACTTTGCAGCGCAGGAGCTGGCTCTCCATGCTGTTTAAAAAGGCCTCCCTGGAAGAAAGGAGAGGGAGTCAAAGGAACGGAGAGGGAAGCACAGGCGAAGGGAGCCATGAGCCCAGCACAAGGCTAAGCGGGCTGAGGGGATACTGGCACCGAGACCATAGGGAAGGCGGGTGCAGCAATGGAACTCCATTTTCAGGGCAAGCCCAGCAGCCACAGAGTTACCAAGACACTTGTCCTGCCCCCGCTGTTCACTTCATTAGGATCAGCCCATGTTTACTCAAGGTCAGGCCAGTCTGTGAAACCAGCTTCTCGGCTTCCCTTCAGCCAGTAAAGCAGGCTGGGCAGGAGAGTCTGCCCTTGCCAATGGCAGCATGAGACTGGGTGAAGTACCAGCCTGAAGCCAGCAAGTACGTCCTGCGGCGACGAGTCCCACAGCAATGCCGGTAAGCATTGTCCCTGGACTGCGTTCCCCTCGACCAGACCAGTGCTGGGACCACTGGCGCCCCCAGCAGTATCACAGATTGCAGAACCATGCTGTGGCTGCGGCAGCAAGGGAAGGGCTGCACTGGTGGTCGCTCTCGCTGCAGTCCATGCCACAACCAAGCGTTCGTTACTTTTTTTTTTGAATGTGGGGTTAGCACCAGAAGAGCGGAGGCTTTTAGCCAGAACTAAGTGCATGGGGCATTCTGCCAGGGCCCCCATGCTACTTTGCTTGGTGCTGGAGCAGCAAAGTTGACAGGGAAGTGTCAATAGCTTTCCTGGCTAGACACTCCTCCCCCAAGAAAGCCAGCTGGAGGCTGCCTCATCACTGATGACTGGAAGGAGGGGAAGAGCTGCTGAGGGGTGGCAGCACCTTAAGGCCCCATGAGAACAAGGGGGAGAGGGCTGGTCGGATGTCTAGTGTAACGTGCTGAAGTCCTCTCAACACTGCATGCTGGAAGTGAGGTTTGACCAGGCTCTGAGTGAGTCCCTAACATGCTTTCAGGGGTAGGTAGATGGAGACCCAGAGACTTACCTACACTACAGCAGGAGCAGTGCTAGCACCAAGAGTGTTCCTTGGAGAACACCTGGGCTCTAGTCTGTGGAAGGCACGGAGTCTGGTCAGCCTGGTTCTCGGAGACCCAGCTGTGTCCATAGGGGGTCAGGAAAGTAGGAGTTGATTGGCTGGCTGAAACCATAGTGTGGACAGGACCTTGGAGCCTAGGCTTTGCATCTCTTTTACACAGGGAAACTGAAATGGGTCAACCTACAGCTTTAGGTGCTGCACTGATCTCTGCCCACGTACATGACACTACACACCAGTGTGCTCGCTCTTATTGGTGAAGTCAGGGTGAGTCTCCCCTCCCCCCAACAGAACCCTGGGAAGGTGGAGCCAACCAGCCAATCACGGTGGGGCTGCATTGCACTCTGGGTGTGATTATCAAAATCAGCTGTGTTCTATCTTCCCCCCCCCCCCCCCCCCGAGTCTTTCTAAGTCCCCCCTGCTGGCCACTGCTTCACCTGCTAGGCGCTATTCTGCCACTCCGTGCAGGGCAGAGGCTGCAGCAATTTGGCACGTGTTCCAATTAGCTAAGCTGTTAGCTGCAGCTGGGTTTGGGGGTAAGCACCGGACTCCAAAGCAGCCCCAGCAAGAAGGAACAATAGGGGTCGTTCTCCCACCTTTGGCTCCTCAGAGGAATGTTCACCAAGTACGGAAATATCACATCGGCAATCTTATTGGTGCTGCAGTTGGGAGACCTGTCCACCTCTACGGCTATGGACAGCATCCTCTGGAGAAGCAGCACCACCCTAGGCCAGAGAACAAGAGTTAGGCAACAGGGAGGGCTTCTTCCCAACGTGTCTGCAGCATAACAGCATGTGCCTCTTCCCACTCAGAGAATCCAGGGAACAAGAGTCGAGCTCTGCTTCAGCAGACAGTGTAAACGTGGTAGCACTGGACTGTCAGTGGCCTATGGGGCGTGAGTAGGTGGGCTCAGCCCAGTTTCTAGGGGACACTGGTTATCTTGCACAAAAGCACCGCTCTGCCTAGCGTCCTTGGAGGCAGAGGTAAGGGCTGAGGTTCCTCAAGGTCAAGCGTGAGGCACATTGGCAGGGCAGCAGGGTGAAGCCTGCATAGCTGCTGCTCCTGCCCTCCTGTTTGCTCTAGCAAAGGGCTTCCTGCCCCAACGGCTGATTGTCAGATGAGGTCCTGGGGCCAGTCTGAGGCAGGGCAGGCTCCCTGCCGCACAAGTGACTCCCTTCCAGTCAGGTGATAGGATCTGTTACAGTGGGGCGGAAACGTGGCCAGGTTGAACCTATGCTGCAAGCACCACTTGGCTTTCTTTACTAGAGACATTTGCTAGCTTATGTCTCTCTCCTAGTTTGAGAGGAGCCCAGCTCCGTAGCCTTTAGTGACCGAGTCAACGCCTCCTTGGCTTACTTTTGGGAAAGGAAAGCCGGTAGGACGGCCTCTGCTTGCCCAGTTTCACTGTCGTTCTGTGCTGAGTCTGGCCCAGGTGAGGAGATGCTACAGTCAGCCCTTGATGACTCTGATGAAGGACATGGTGCTTTCTGCTGCTGCTTTCGGGGCTGGGAAAATCCAAGTCCGGTAACGGCAGCAACCAGCCACTCGATCACCTCCCTGGGATGGAAACATTCAGGTAGTTAGGATGAGGGCCTGGCGTTCCAGCTGCACAGTCAGACCCCTAGGTCCACTTGGAACAGAAGGACAGACTAAGTGTGGGACACGGGGAAGGACACATCTGAGATGCTCCCGGGGGTGGGAACCACACAGCAATTTATAAACCCTCTGCCACCAGCAGTGCAGCATGAATTCCTCCTGTTCTCAGGGCTGTTTGTTTCCCAGTTCCTTGGGAAAAAGCAGGCCGGTCTGAGTGCAAGGCATTTCCAGTCCCCTCCCCCCTGGGCCAGGTACATGATCTCTGGCCCCCAAGCTCTCTGGGAAGTAAGGGGGCGTTTACACCGCAGCACGGAGGCCTGGGAGAACAGGTTTCTTAGTGCCCCTGCCTTACAGCCGGGCCGCGGGGAGCGCTCCTTACTTGACGTTGCTGAAGCACCGGTCACAGGAAAGCACCTCCTTGGCAATGGATTTCTGCAGGAAGCGCAGCCTCAGGTTCAGCTGGAAATCATCCTCCAGGGTCTGCACCACGTACTGCAGGAACAGAAAGCGCCCTGGGAGCATCTCCTCCTGTGGGCCCAGAGCGATTCAGAGCTGGTGCCTGGGCGTGAGCATGTCAGGGCTGTCAATATGACAGGCTCAGCAGGTGAGGGTGCCTCAAAGGTTAGGGGGTAGAGGCTGGGGGGAGACCGATGGGGGCAAGTACATATGCTCAACCAAGAAGGCCAAGGTAGGTAGTCCTCAAGCAGGATCTGCCTTGCCTGGCTGGCCCAAGGAGCAGGCCCGAGGGGGACGTGGCTGAGCTGAGAAGGTTCCATCACCTCGCTGAGGAGCTCCAAACACAGCCCCTGGGAACTCTGTAGATCCATTACCCTCTTCACCAGATAGGGAAACTGGCCCAGAGAGCACAGGGCCTTGCCTGAGCTCTCTCAGCGAGTCACTGGCAGAGCTGTGACTAGAAGCTCAGAGACTGGACTCAGGCCCTGCTCAAACCACCCGTCCATGGGGTGTCAAAGTGTGGCCTGCAGTGTTCTGTGCTGCTGGTAGCCACTGCCCGGTCCCACCCTGCATTGCTCCACAGCTGTCTAAGCCAGCAGGCACGTGGGAGGAAGATGAAGTGTTGCCAGGACCCACAGGCAGCGTGGGCTGCACCTCAATGAAGGAATTAAGGATGGCTGTGCTCTGAGCTTTCAATGTCAATTTGAGGAAGCCCAAGACTCTGGGCAAGTTGCCAATGTGGCACGTGGTAGGGCTCGTCTGGCTAGCCTGCTCTGGGCTCCCTGGATTTCTAGCAGGGGTCTCTCTGATAGGGCCATGCTATAGATGCTCAGAGCCAAGGGCTGCCCTTTGCTGGTTGAAATGGCCCTCGCCAGCTTCAAGGAGGCAGGGTGCTCCCCTTGTTGCACAGTGAGGGCATGTGACATTGTGTGACCCACCTTCTGCACAAGAAAAATACTTGGCAACTGCCACTGCCCTCCCCCTACATACACGCCCACACGGGACACAGTGACTGTACCTGCTCTTCCATGACATACCGTAGCAGCTCCCAGTCCCATCCCACCATTGTGGTGGTAGCTGGATGAAGCCTGAAATGACACAGGTAGGTTACTGAATTGCTTGACTGTCTTCAGGGGGACAACTGGAGCCTGGGTGCAAGGCAAAGCGATGCCCTGCTGCCAGGTCACTTGCTGTAACCCTGTCGCACCAGGTTTTTACACCATGCTGGTCACCCTAGTATGCAGTGTCCTCCAGCTCCGAGTTCCCTTATTTTCTCCCCGTGCCCCCTCCGTGGCTGTGTAGAACAGCCTGGCCAAGGAGCCTGTGCGCTCTGGGGATCACTGACACTATGGATCCCTTGGGCTACAGATTCTACAAGTTTAGGACCCCCAAGGACTTCTCAGCTCTGGTTCTGGAGAAACCTGCAGTGTCCAGTCCAGAACAATGGCCTAGCTTGGAGTTCAGGGATGGGACCTTCCCATCTGTACTCACTGCACTGACCTGCATGGCCTGGTCATCTCCACCTGGAAGCAAAGAGTTGTGACCCCCCCCACCTCTGCGTCAGACAAGCCAGCATTAGAATGGACCACATCTGATTTAAAAAGTTAAGACGCAAAGTAGTTAGAGCCACTTTCCCAAAGCCCATTTTACCTAGCACCTCCTGCTGGTCACACTGTCCCCTCTCCCCAGCTGCATTTCTGGCTACCAGCCACCGTGCAGGGGCATTAGCCTCTAAGAGGACATCTTAGCCACAGTGCTGAAAAGGAGACCTCTCCCTGCCAAAGAGACCAGGTGGGCCAGCACGGTAAGGGGAAGCATGCTCCCCAGCCAGGCAAACGCAACACATACAGTTGAATTTTCATCAGCAGCATGTAGGCATCCTTCAGCATCTCCCCAGTCTCTGAGCTCAGCAGGATATTCCTGATCACATGGGACACAATCTCCTTTGGAGGGTAATGGTGGCAGGACACGAAGTCCATTAGGAACTGCAGGGTCCCCTTGGGGAAGTTCTCCTCCATGGTGGTAGATACCATGCTCAATTTTCTGCTGGGGATGGGCTGTGCCCTCAGCTGTGCGTTCTGTCAAGACGATAAGATATTAGAAGCGGGTTTGCAAGGCATGTGAAGGGACAAAGAACCCCCAGATGGAGAGCCCATTGGTGAAACTGGGAACCCCATACACCGCTTGCCACAAGTCAAGGCTGGGACTAATTTGCATTGCCTTTAAATTTACAAACAGGTGCACTGTTGTTGTGCTTCGTCCCTGCTGATGAGCAGAGCTGGTGGTGGTGGAGTTCACCAGCACTAAAATATGCCTTATCCTAAAGTTACAATTGATTTAGGATTCTGGGGGCTGCTCTAGAACCTTTGCTGTGAAAGGGGTCTCTTATCCAGGAAATCTCCATAACCACGGTGGCTCTTGGCTGCATGAGAAAGGGAAGGATCCGTAGCAAGGGGCCGTGCTAGTCACCGAGGTGGGGCGAGCTTTGGACAACTACCTAGACCAAGGAGCAGTGTTATGCCCTCTCTGTTCAGCGTGTGGCAGAGCAGCATCCAGACTCATGAATGGTGCAGCTGAAGGCCCGTCACACCCTGCAGTGGGCCTTGGGGAGATCGCTGTGTCACCCAAAGGCAGCTGTGCTTTCACTGCACGCTCGCATGGCCGGGCTGTCCCCAGGGTCACAGTCACACAACCCCCCAAGCTCCATGCAGTGAAAACGCTGAACGTCCATTTCTGGGAGCTGAAAAAAAATGCATCTAGGGCCCTTGGGTAGCACAGGCACCTCCTGGCTCTGGGTCTGCCAGGCCCCGAGGACCATGGAATGGCCTGGCCTGCATGAGCCCCCTCCCCTCCAAGCCTGCAGGAGCTGTGCTGCTCTGCCACACAGGCACAAGGGGCCGTCTTAACAGGCCTTTGCTGGCCTGTGGTAACATGCTGCTCGGTTCCTGGCTAGCCAGGCACTTCCCTAACTGGGCCTGAAGGGCTTTTTCCCCTAATGAAACCCAATTAGGAAGGCGGATTTCACAGGCTGGTCCAGCAGGGGGTGACGGGGGCCTGTCTTCTGTAAGTTATTTGCAGTGCTACAGCGATGGGATTAGTGCTCGCTACAGCTGCACTGGCCCATTCTCTCACCACCGACCACTTTGCTGAGAGGTCCCTGTGTCTGCATGCAGGAGCAGAGGAGAGCAGGCTGGTCCCTCCCACCGGACGAAGACCATTGTCTGAACAAAGCCAGAGCAAGGGCTGAGCATAGAGCAGAGCTCCGTGGGGGAATCCAGAGAGGGGCAAGAGGGAAGAAGGCAGCCAGAGGAAAGGACAGGAAAAAAACAAGGGGCAACTGAAAGGCAGAAGAGGAACCAGAGCAGAGCTCCCTCCAGGCTGCATTGCAGAGGTGGGGACCCAAACCCTTGAGTCATTAGTAGCCCCCCAAGAATGCTTGCAATGCCCTGGGTTCCGCCTTGCTGCTGGATGGGACGTCTGAGCAGCGTTCCTCAACCCCGGTATGCCTGGCTGAAGGGAAATACCGAGGGCGCACACAGGGGCATCACCCTCCATGTGGCACCTTCTCAGCACCCCTGTGCTTGAGCCCATGACTGGCCTTGGGCACGGAGGCGAGGCGATCTCACTAGGTTACCTGGCGGGATTCCTCATCCTGCACCACTCCCTGGAGGAAAAGGTGATGCACCGGAGTCCTCCTGAAGTACCGCAGTTTATGCAGCCAGGCCTTATTGACAGGCCGCGGTTTGGCTGGCTCGGGGGGCTCCTGCTTCACTGCAGTCAGCACTGAGTTACTTGTCTCCAGCAAAGGCTGCTCTGGAGACCTGGGGGTGCTTGCTGGGGGGCAGCTGGAGAGACCTGGGGACTGACTCTGAGCAGGGGAGGTGGGGAGGTGTTCCGGGTCTTCCCTCTGCTGGCAGGTACTGCGAGATTCTGCGGCGGAGCAGTCCAAGGATGCCCTCCTGCTGCTGCTGCTATTGCTGCTGGTTGGAGAGAAGGAGAACACGTCCGAGTCCAGCAGGAGGCTGGCCAAGGAGCCCAGGTCACTGTTAATAGTGGTGGTGCTGCTGAGCTCCGGGTCACAGACAGAGTGCGTGCAGCTGGAGACGGGGGAGAAGTAGCCTTCCAAGTGGGTGCACTTTGTCTCTTCGTGGGCTCCGTCCCAAGGGGCCCCAAGGCCTTGGTCTGCCACCTCTTTCCTTTCACGCTTTATGTCCACGAGGGCGGGGAGGCTGGGAGGCGAAGCACACTCCATGCCGGCAGCAGTGCCAGCACCATCCCGGGGGAAGTCGCCTGGATGCTCCTCCTCCACTTCGGTCAAGTCAATCACAGTGAAGTCATCCTGCGCTGCCGCTTCCGAACACACGTCCTCCCCGGTTAGATCAATGACCTCCTGGGGACAGACAGACAGCTGTTAGTGCTGCTGGCACTAGGAGTTCATGGGCTGGGCTCCCCCTTTCCCTGGGTGCGGGACCTTGGGGAGGTGGGGCACGCCCATCAGCCCCACGGGATCGCACGAGGCATGGGGACAGGAGTTACTCATGGTGCACAGAAAGCCAGCAGCAAAGGCAAGCAATGCCCATCCCCTGCTCAAATTGCAAACCCGCCGCCCAACGTCTAGCAGCGTAAAGCAACCGTCTGAATTGTGCTCGGAAAAGCCAAGCCTAGCGGGGGCCCTCCCTGCCCTAATCCCTGGGGAAAACCCTGCCCCTCCCTGATGGGCAAACAGGGGCTGTCAGGGAGCGTCCAAGCAGCAAACACGCCCCTGCCCCAAACCTGAGCAGGGGGCCAGCTCTTTGCTGCTATCAGCCACTGCAGAGTTCAGCGTCAGGGCCCACTCCTGCAGTGGGGGAGCAGTGCCACAAGGGCTGTCCCAGGACCCCACCTCTTCCACCACACAGCTCTGCCAGGACATCGCCTGCAAATCCAGTCCTGAGTCCCTAGGCTGCAGGGTCTGATTTTTGTGCACTTAGAAAGTTGGCAACTCTAGTCAGATGCAGCACCGGCTGGCAGACGGGCCTGGGGCCTGGCTGGCAGACGGGCCTGGGGCCTGGCTGCAGGGACAGGAACGGGGCCCGGCGCCGGACAGGGAGCAGCGGAGCTGGGCGGGTTTTCGTACTGACGCTTTTTGGGTGACAAACGCAGGTTTGGGTTGATGAGTGTCGCTGAGCTGCTGGTTTCAGTGGGGAAAAAACAAAGCCCCCCCGAGCCCGCCAGAGCGGAGCGCTCCCGGGTTGGTAGGGTAGGAAAGTGCCCCTGTAGCAGCTCCTGGGATGATATGTCCCTTCTCTTGGTGTGGGGGTCACTCTACAGTGCCTGTGTCTGTAACTTTCACGCCGGCTTACGCCCAAATCAATCGGTTAGTCTTTGAGGTGCCACCGGACTCCTCGTTGGTTTTGTGGCTACAGACTAGCGGGGCTGCCCCCCCCCCCATACTGGACCCGGACTGGACCCCACGCTAAGGGCAGGGAGAAGGGCAGTGGCTTCGGCAGATGTTACTGAGCATGCTCAGTTCGTGTGCGCATGCTCAGTGCCTCCTACAGAGCGCCGCTTCCTACGCTACGCGGCTGGGGCCGGGAGCGGTCGGACGGGGGCTCCCCGGGGGGGGTCCGGAGCGGACCCCGCCCGCCCGCGGCCGGAAGCGCCGCCATCTTTGTGGCCGGCCGGCCGGGTAAGGGGGCCCCCGGTGACTCACCGCGCGTCGCTGGGGCAACCGCCGCCTCTTCCGGCGGGGCGGGGAGCGGCCGCCCTCCGAGCCCGAGTCGCTGAGGAGGATGACGCCCTCGGCCATTGCCCGCTCCCCGGCCGGCCTCGCGGGCCCTGGCTCCGCCCCCGTCGCGCCGATGGGCGGGGCCTGCGCTCGCTCCTCCCCCCCGCCTGCGCGCGTCCCCGGCGGCTGGGCCTCTCGGGCGCGCGCCTGCCCTGCCAGCGCGGGAGCGAGCTGCGGGCGGTGTCACGGGCGCGCGGCTCGGGGGGGGGGGGGGGGGGGGGCCCCGGGGTTGGGGGGGGGGGGAGAGAGACACACCACGCTTGGCTGTTTGCACAGCGCCTGGGGCATCAGCCCACCAGCCCCGGCCCTGCACGGGGGCACAGACCGGTCTGACGGACACCCTGGCCTGCCTTTTTAAGGCAGCAAGACCTCTTCCTCCTTTTCTCTGCCGACCGCCTCAGCGCCTGGCTCCCCGGCTGTGCTCGAACAGGCATTTGTGTTTCAGTACATCTGCCAGCCTGGCGACGATAACCGGGGACCGGACGGAAACACCTGCATCAGCCAGACCTGGGTGGCTGGTTTCCTAATGCTTCTCCTGATCCCCTTCTCATACGGCCCTCTGGCCTCACCACCTCTTCTGCACGCCTGCCTCTCGCCGTGGGCCCCCTCAGGGAGTCCACTCACTCTCTGGACCCCTGAGACCTCCACAGCCAGAGGGAACAATGCAACCCTAATCTCCGGACTGCACGGACTCTCAGCCGGTGTAAAACAGAAGGGTTTATTGAATGTCTGATCCCAGCACAGGAAGTCCTTAGGGCCCTTAAACCTGGAACGTCTCCACACAGTCCATCTGGCTCTGTCTCAGTCCCCAGGGCTCAGGCTGCTCGCTCTCCCCAGTCCCGCAGCCCCCTCCTTCCAGCTGATCATCCTATATAGAATGGGAAGGGACCTCAAGAGGTCATCTAGTCCAGTCCCCTGCACTCCTGGCAGGACTAGTTATCTAGACCAGGGGCTGTCCGACTTTTGTACTGGTGACCCCTTTCACACAGCAAGCATCTGAGTGCGACCCCCCTTATACATTAAAAACACTTTTTAATATATTTAGCACCATTATAAATGCTGGAGGCAAAGCGGAGTTTGGGGTGGAGACTGACAGCTCGTGACCCTCCATGTAATAATCTCACAACCCCCTGAGGGGTCCCAACCACCAGTTTGAGAACCCCTGATCCAGACCATTCCTGACAGGTGTTTGTCTAACCTGCTCTTAATCTCCAATGATGGAGATTCCACATCCTCTCTAGGCAATTTATTCCAGTGCTTAACCACCCTGACAGGAAGTTTTTCCTAATGTCCAACCTAAACCTCCCTTGCTGCAATTTAAGCCCATTGCTTCTTGTCCTATCCTCAGAGGTTAAGAAGAACAATTCTTCTCCCTCCTCCTTGTAACAACCTTTTATGTACTTGAAAATTGTTATCCTGTCCCCTCTCAGACTTCTCTTTTCAAGACCAAACAAACCCAGTTTTTTCAATCTTCCCTCACATGTTTTCTAGACCTTTAATAGTTTTTGTTGCTCTTCTCTGGACTTTCTCCAATTTCTCCACATCTTTCCTGAAATGTGGCGCCCAGACCTGGACACAACACTCCAGTTGAGGACTAATCAGAGCAGAAGAATGACTTCTCCAGTTAGGAACAGAAAAAACAAACCAGCTTTCTGACCTGTAGACACATGCCAGGCAGCAAACACGATGCCGGCAACATCCCGACTCTCCTTTAGCTACCCAGGCTGTCGGTATCTGCAGGGGTGGGACGTTTTCTGGAGCTATTGTTCAGACGCATTCCGTTACTAGAGTCCAGGGATTCCTGTTTCTGCCTAGTCCCGCCAGACCCTCCTGTGCATGGTGACGCTGCGGAGGGGAATGAGGGACTGCAGGCAGGGGGCAGAGACCCCGGGGGGGGGGGGCTGCCCCCCCCGCCCCCCGGGCTCGCTACGTGGCCGTGGGGAAGCCGGGCAAGCCCCAGCCTGCTCCCGGGGCTGGAATTCCGCGCGGCGCGGCGGCCAGTCACGCGCTGGAGCCCAACCCACAGGTCGGGGGTCGGTCCAGGCGGCGCTGGGGACTGGGGTGCGGAGAAGCGGGAACGCGCTACCGGCTGCGAGCGGGGCGATCGCCGGCCCCGGGAGCCCCGCACGCCGGGAACGTGCCCCCACCCCACGGAACGGGACCCCGCGCAGCTGGGGGTGCCCCCAGTGCTGGAGACGGGCTGGGCCAGCGCCGCCGGGCCCGTCCCCCCGCCTGCGGAAGCAGATCCACGGGGCGCCTCTTCCTTCTCGTCCCTTCCAGCCCGTGACCCTCGCCCCGGACGTACGTAGCTACGGCGGCGCCCCTTGCCCTGGAAGCGGAAGTGGAGTTACCGCCCTTCGGCCTCTGCCCCGGAAGTGGTTGCCGGGCCCCGGCCGCCCGGTTGCCATGGCGCTCTCCCCATACGTGCTCGCCATGCAGGAGCTGTTCCGGGCCAACACGCGGAGCCGCGAGTTCCCGGCGCACGGGGCCAAGGTGCACTCGGTGGCGTGGAGCTGCTGCGGCCGCCGGCTCGCCTCGGGCTCCTTCGACAAGACGGCGAGTGTCTTCGTGCTGGAGAAGGACCGGCTGGTGAGCGGGCGGGCCGGGCCCGGGGGGGGGATCCCCATCCGCTCTGCGCTCCCAGGCCCCCGCCTCCGGCCCGTCCCGCGGGGTAGGCGATGGGGGCTGCCAGCAGCGAGCTGGGCTCATGTCGCAGGGGAAGCCCCCCCCCCCCCCCCCCCAGCGCTCTGCCCCAGCTCCGGGACTGCAGCGCGGGGACAGCCCCCTTCAGTGCTCCTGGGAAAGATTTGGAAGCGCTGCTGAGCGCCAGAGCAGCCCAGGCCCATGGGCACCACTCGAAGAACGGGCCAGCGGCGAAAGGGCTAGTCTGGGAAGCGGGAGAGGTGGGTTCTCTTTCCTGATTCCCCCGTAGACTTTTGTGCGATCTTGGGCAAGTCACTTAAGTCTCGGTGGGTCTCGGGTCCCTCTCTGTAAAATGGGGACAATAGTATTTGCTTATCTCACGGGGGCGCGTGAGGATAAACATTTGGGGGGAGTTCTAACACGCTGGTTTCCTGAGTGAGTGTGGCAGCGTCTGCGCTGGCCTGGTTGTCTGATGGCTTGGGCGGTCACCTCCCTCTAGGTGAAGGAGAACAATTACCGTGGCCATGGGGACAGCGTGGATCAGCTGTGCTGGCACCCGAGTAACCCAGACCTCTTTGTTACTGCATCTGGAGACAAAACCATCCGTATTTGGGATGTCCGCACCACTAAGTGCATCGCTACCGTGAACACCAAAGGTGAGTGCTAATGTGAGGAGATAAGAGGGACCAGTGCATCTCAGGACAGCTATAAACACTGCTCCCTTTGCAAACGCATCCTGCTCCCAACATGGACTGGAAGCAAATTCAGAAACCCTAAGAGCTCTCCATGATGTTTCTGTGACACTTGCATCTTTCTGGCTTTTGCTAGCAAATTATAACCATACATGACACTACCTCCAGTGAGAATTTGTATCTGTACCTAGCATTAGCCACGCTCTAAGCAGTGTTAGGTGACACAGTGTTAAACACCTGAACCCATCTACGTTAGCACTGGCACTGTCAGAAACTCTCACTAGCGTGTGTAGCTGTAGGGAGAAGGGTTAGGGAGAGAAGTTGAGTCTCTATCACCCATTTCTATTTTTGATACACCTTTTCTTCCCAGGTTTAGTTGTCGATACATAGGTGCTGGAACTAGGAGTGCTGGGGTACGGTAGCACCCACTGGCTTAAAGTGTTTTTATCATATACAGGGTTTACAGTTTGGTTCAATGGCTCTCAGCACCCCCCCACCCCCTCCACACACAAATTGTTCCAGCACCCCAGCGTCAGTATTATGTAAAGATTTGCTAAATGACTTATTTAGCATGGAGCAATGGCTTTGCAAAGAGATTTGGACTGGGAAGAGACATGCAACAGGCGTAATTGTGATTCTTTGTTTTGAAGCCACAGTTCTGTTAGAGTTAATTTCCCTTAAAACTTGCGTAGTTGTGACACAGCTGGTCAAGCCAAGCTAGGCTGTTACAATTTAAATTTGGTCATGTCATTGCCCTTCGCCACTTAAGGCGGCTTGGGTTAAAAATACAAAAGTCCATCTGTGGCACCTGATTGGTTCTCTTGCCCCTGTTAATGGTGCTGAGCGATGGTAGGACCTGATGCATTCTCTTCCCTTCCAGGAGAGAACATTAATATCTGCTGGAGTCCTGATGGCCAGACCATTGCGGTGGGGAATAAGGATGATGTGGTCACCTTCATTGATGCCAAAACACATCGCTCCAAAGCCGAGGAGCAGTTTAAATTTGAGGTGAATGAGATTTCCTGGAACAATGATAACAACATGTTCTTCCTCACCAATGGCAATGGCTGCATCAACATCCTCAGGTATGTCCCGGCATGATCTCCAGTGGCAGGGGTGGGATAGGCAGGCTGGCTGCCTCTTGGATCTCCTGCCCTGCACCTTCGCTCTGGCTGTCTGCAATAAGTTGTGTTTCCTTCGCATGGCTCTTGTGACAGACTGATAGCCTTGCCAGTAGCTGAGGTTTATAGTGTGGTCTGTTTTGGGGCTGTATGCTGAGACAAGTTACCTGCTAGGCGAGGTTGAGAGCTTCCTAATGAGGCTCTATTCTGCCATCCTTTGATCCCTAACCCCTTTAGGGTCTCTTGATGAGGGGGTGGGGCTAACTCAGGAGAACAGGGGGTTAAAAGCCAGCTCCGAAGTGAGTAGAAGAGCTGGCGAACAGGGGAGTTTTGCGAGGGAGTTTAGAGAGGCAGGTACCTAACAGTACTCTAAACCGAAACCCTACAAGAGTAAAAATAACGCAGGCAAAGTCCAGCAGTAGAGTGGGGGCTCTCCAGCGTATTGCACTGACTGCACCAGGTATGGGCAGGTGGTGTGGGTGTGCACTGAGTGCAAGCAACTCAGGGCCCGCAGAGACCAAGTCCGGGCTCTTAAGAGCAGAGTGGCTGAACTGTAGGAGCTAAGGGAGACCATGAGGTACGCAGAGGAGACTTTCAGGGGTACAGTAGAGCGGTCTGACCGCCTCTGTGCTGCTGAGGAGGAGGAAAGTCTCGTGGAAGAAGAACATTAAGCTCGAGCAGAGGGAAGCATTCCCATAGTTGGGACCTTCCCTGCAGATGATGTCATGGTGCTCCTCCAGTTATTAGGAAGAGACAAGTAACAGTAATGGGGGATTTGATCATTAGAAATATAGCTAGCTGGGTTTGTGATGACCAGGAAAACCACTGGGTGAATTGCCTGCCAGGTGCGAAGGTTGCAGATCTCTCGAGACATCTAGACAGACTTAATGTGCAGTGCTGGGGAGGAGGCGGTGGTTGTGGTACAGGTAGGTACCAATGACTTGGGGAACGGTAGGAGAGAGGTCCTGGAGGGCACATCTAGGCTGCGAGGTAAAAGTCCAGGACCTCCCTGGCAGCTATTCTCTGAGATGCTTCCAGTTCCACGCGCAGGGCCAGGGAGACTGGCAGAACTGCAGGGTCTCAATGCGTGGATGAGATGATGGTGAAGGGAGGAGGGGTTTAGGGTTATTGGGAAAGGAGGAACCTATACAGGAAGGTTGGGCTCCACCTAAACCAAACAGGTACCAGATTGCTGGTGTGTAACGCTAAAAGGTGGTAGAGGAGTTTTGAAACTAAGGGCTGGGGGAAAGGCAACGGGTGCGGAGGAGCACATGGTTCGGACAGAGACATCCCTTGGGGGAGGATCTCTTAACGGGGATTCTCTATGTCCTAGTGAAGGGGAGAGGATAGAAGTTGATAAAGTGCAGGTAGGAACTGAGGAGAAACAGTCCAATGAAAGGTTTCAGAGTGGTAGCCGTATTAGTCTGTATCAGCAGTTACCTCACATGACGGCACACAACTAAATATTGACAAATATAGAAATGCTAGAAGTGCTGGGTGCACTCGAGTGCTTGGTATTAAATGAGGATATTGATATAGTCGGCATCACAGAAACTTGGTGGAATGATGCTAATCAATGGGGCAGGGTGACACCAGAGTAGGAACTAGATAGGAATGACAGAGCAGATCACGCTGTGGGGGATGTGACACTGTATGTGAAAGAAAGCGTAGAGTCAAATATAGTACAAATCTTAAATGAATCAAACTGTACCATAGAATCTCTCGGGATAGAAATTCCATGCTTGACTAATAGGAGTATAGCAGTATGGATGTACTACCGATCGCCTGACCAGGGTGGTGGTGATGATTGTGAAATGCCCTGGGAGAGTAGAGAGGCTACAAAGACAGAAAATAATAATGGGGGATTTTGACTATCCCTATATTGACTGCGTACATGTGACCTCAGGATGGGATGCAGAAATAACATTTCTAGACACCATTAGTGACTGCTTCTTGGAGCAGCTAGTCCTGGAACCCACAAGGGGAGAGGCAATTCTTGATTTAGTCCTCTGTGGAGGTGAATATAACAATTACCAAGGGTTTAAGCAACCATAATGTCATTAAATTTAACATCCCTGGGGGAGGGGAGGAAAACGCCAAAGAAACCCACCCCAGTAGCATTTAACTTCACAAAGGGGAACTACACAAACATGAGGAGGCTAGTTAAACAGAAATTAAAAGAAACACAAGAGTGAAATGCCTGCAAGCTGCATGGAAGCTATTTAAAAACATCGTAACAGAGGCTCAAACTAAATGTATACCCCAAATAAAAAAAATAGAAGGAAAAAAAATGCCACTATGGCTAAACAGCAGAGTATAAGAGGTGGTTAGAAGCAAAGTATAATTAGGCAGGCCAAAAAAGAATTTGAAGAGCAGCTAGCAAAAGACAAAAACTAATAGCAAAAAGTTTTTAAGTATATCAAAAGCAGGAAAACCTG